ATACATTAATCTGTTTTTGTGAAATCATCTTAAAATATTTCTTTGCTTACTTGCTTAAGATTCTCTAGCTGTAAATAGTTTGGGCTGACTTGTTAATAATTGTCGACTGGTCGCTGTGACGTCATCAATAAATACTTTTACATCTTAGGATATTTCACCCATGTGGGAGGTTAGCAAGATGGGCACTTCGGCTACAAGAGTTTGACGTCACTGTCGTGTATAAGAGCGGAAGGAAACATCAGGACGCAGACTGCTTATAAAGAAGTCCATTAGAATACAGTGAAGATATGGAGGATGATATTCCAAGCATAGTGACTTTGCAGAACTTTAGCGAAGAGCAGATGAATAATCAAGCTATTAGAAAAATCGCTGACAAATTACAAAGTTCTCCTAATAATTCCTTTGTAAAAATCGATAACACGCTCTACAGAAAAAATTATGATCCAATGGGGAAACCATGGCTTTTGGTGGTTCCACACCATTTAAGGCAGGAATTACTGAAAAATTTCCATGATTCACCCACGGCTGGTCACCTCGGATTTACTAAAACCTATGACCGAATAAGAAAAAAGTATTACTGGCCTGAATGTATAGAACGGTTAGAAGGTATGTGGCACACTGTTCAGATTGTCAGAGGCGTAAACATCAGCCCCAACTCCTCTCAGGGCACTTACAGCCAATACCTGTTCCTGAAGTTGCCTTTGAAAAGGTAGGAATGGATCTCCTGGGGAGATTTCCAACATCAGAAGGTGGCAACCGTTGGATTATTGTATGTACGGACTACCTAACGAAATATGCGATAACTAAAGCTCTACCCACAAGTGAATCCATGGAAGTCGCCAAATTCTTCATTGAAGATGTCATCTTAAAGCACGGCGCGCCGAGGGAATTAATCACGGATAGAGGAAGGAACTTCACATCTTCAATGATAAGTGACCTGAACAACCAGTGCAGAATAACCCATCGGAAGACGACCGCCTATCACCCCCAGACAAACGGACTCACGGAGAGGTTGAATAAGACCATAGCAGACATGCTGTCCATGTATGTAGATGTCAACCATAAAGATTGGGACAGGATTCTTCCATTCGTTACATTTGCATACAACACAGCAAAACAAGAGTCTACTGGGTTCACCCCATTTTTCCTTGTACACGGGCGTGAAGCCGAGACTCCACTTGACGTGTTATTACCCAAGTTATTGCCAGAAGACGACGATTTCATCCAAACTCTAGGGGCAAGAGCCGAAGAAGCACGAAAACTGGCACGTATCCACTCCATGAGATCTCAAGGTAGCAATAATCATCGCTATGACGCCCATCACAGAAATATAATTTATCAGCCTGGAGATCTTGTATGGATCTTTATTCCTGTGCGTAAAGTGGGATATTCGGAAAAACTAATGAGACGTTACTTCGGCCCATACAAAGTAACCCGAAAAATATCTGATGTGACCTATGAAGTTGAAACATTCGGAAACCAGCAAGGTCATCGTAAAACAAAAGATTTAGTTCACATTGGTAGGATGAAACCTTATTTAAACCCAGAGGACCAGGAGGACCAGCTAGAAGAGGACCCAGAAGATGACTCGACAAACTTCCAGGAAGAAGACATCCCCACTGAACGAACACAACAACCACAGACCCGCGAAGAGATCTCAGGCCCTATCACCCGTTCTCGAGCCTTGAGACTGAGGATGTAAGTCTCCTTCTGAGCATCGGGTCGATGCTCTTTATAGGAGGAGGCTATGTGGCGAAGAAATATTTTATTATTTAATTTAATATTATTCAATGAAAATATATCCAACAGATTATAAAAATATACATTAATCTGTTTTTGTGAAATCATCTTAAAATATTTCTTTGCTTACTTGCTTAAGATTCTCTAGCTGTAAATAGTTTGGGCTGACTTGTTAATAATTGTCGACTGGTCGCTGTGACGTCATCAATAAATACTTTTACATCTTAGGATATTTCAAGGCTTGATTTCTACGCTACAATATAATGTTAACCCAATTCAAGAACAGGTTGAAATGGCAGACAGTTCTAAGGCTTTCAAAGTTTTAGCTTAATAAAATAAAGCAAATGTGAGAGTATATATTTTTTCCATTGATATATTCTAACTCTACTTGAATTTAAATAGTGCGAAATCATATCATCAGGAAAAAATGTTTCACATAAAGTTTTATCTATTATCACAATATATGTGGTGAAATCTGAAACTACACCCTGTTTTTTTTTTTAACGATTCATATGAAAAGGTTTTTATATGCATTTTACTATTTCAGCATAAAAGATAAATAAAGAGGTTTTCAGGGTTATCGGGAAAGGATAATTTCTTAAAAATTGCCTCTTTCAAATTCCTAAATATAATTTTGAATATGCTCTCTTCCAGAATACATAGAAGTATGAGATTTGGAACACTCCCTCAGTCCAATTAACAAGTTAAGTGTACAATTTTTCAGACTACTAGGTCTTTGCGGGTCTCGGGATTTGTAATTTATTTCTCAAACATTCAGAGATACCCTCACTTTCTTGGAGTCATCAAACAGGCTGAATCCTAAACTCACATATAATAAAAATACATTATCTCCAATTTTTATTAATTTCACCACAAAAAACTTGCTACCACCTACATTAGTCTGTGATAATTTCAGAATTAAAAAAAAAGGTTTATCCTGTTTGACGACTCCAAGAAAACGAGGATAACTCTGAATGTTCGAGAATTAAATTCCAAATTCCGAGATAGTGTAAGTGCTCCTGCACTGCGGGGTATGTAGGTCAGACATCTTATGTAACATCCTTGTTGTATACTCACATCGTGTGACACTACGGAATACTAACCACGGGAACATTCTGTCTTCATAATTGAAATATATTTACTAGCATTTTGCTTTTGTCATCAGATAAACCTTGTTAGTTTTCTAAATAATAAATAAAAAAAACGCGGCACTACTTGGATTCGAACTTAGAACGCCTCTATCAACATATATTTTTATATTTATTTATTTATATTTATATTTATATTTTCAAAATACATAAATATAGTACATATCTTCTTCATATTCTTTATTTTTATATTCGTCTTTTATCACCAGTCAAAATTTATTTGAATTATATATAGGAGATTTGAAACTGTGGTGGTGAAGGGAACTTGGATTTTATTTGAAATCAACTTACTCTTCAACAGCCCCGACTGCTGGTGCAGCGTCTCCACTGATCAAGTTCTTTGCCTTCGCCTCCAGGCGCTCTGCACGGCGCAGACGTTGCTCCGTATTCTTTATACGTCTTCAATTATTTATTTATTCATCACTTGTTTTATTATATATATTTCCATTTTCCTTTTGGCGCTTTTTTCTATTGAAGTAAATTCAAGATGGTGGTTTTATTTATTTATTATTATATATTTATATTATGAGAGGCTGTTCTAATTTTGAGTATCCAAGGGTATACAACATTAGGTTGTATCAGGCCGCGTTTTCCCACCGTTAGGTGTCCCAGAATGTCATCTCTGGTCAGATGGTGACAGCGACAGGCCGAGGTATGTACCAGCCTTCCATCACTGCACACTTCTTATTGTCATAAAATATATTTTATTGTTATATAAAATTCTGTAGTTACTCCAAAACGCGTTTGGAGTTTCATTAAAAAGAGGAAGCAATAGTATATGAAACAATAGTTCATAAAGCCAACTTCCACCCTCTTCAATTAAAATTACAAATAAAATATAATGAATCTAACATGAGTATATGTTCAGATTAATAATCTGTTTAAAATATAGGATGTACAAAACTTATTCAAAAATTAAACCAATATAAAATTTACATATTTTGTGATAGAAAAATGATAGGTTGATATGAAAGGAATTTGACCCTAGAATTTGAAAATATTCAAATATCAGACTAATTTTCTTATTTTGGAGTCAGAAAATACGATGATATTATTGTTGTATGATGATTGTCAATAATGTTCTCATATAACAATATTAGAACATCGGTCCATTCTACGAACAGGTCTAAAATAGCAGCCAGGCTTATTAAGTAAGTGTGAGATTATATGTTTCATTATTATATTTTCAACTCTTGTTAAAATAAATATTGCTAAATTGGATTATCAGGAAATAATATTTCACATTAAGTTTTATCTTTTTTCGCTTATATATTATGTATATGTAATGACAAAAAAATGAAACTATACCGCTTTTTTAAATATATAATTCACTAGCTGAATGACCAGGGCAACGCCCGGGTTTTACCCGATTAAATGCTTTTATTCAAATACTATTCGTTACAAATATAAATTGGCGCCGTGGATGTCATTCTTGACATTCTTGTGAAACGTCCCGCTCCAAACTTTGTGTCTGAAAAGCGATATTTTTATAAAGAGATGATCTGGCTTTGTGTCTTCTGCTCGAATGAATGTTTTTCTGTTAGAATTTTGTTCCTGCATACTAAAAATGAACTGGCCTCACCCGTGGTCTCTGCTTTTTGGAATTTTTCCGGATATAATTTTGTATCTGATAATCAAATATGATACAGCAATATTGTCATAATAATTTTCTGACTAAAAAAAAACAACTATTTTTGCCCAGAACCTGTCAATTTCAATTTTTCTTGGCTAAAAATGCGACAAATATCTCTTCCATATTTTTTTCTATGTCCTGTTAAAACACGTTTTATATGTACATTAGGTCAGCTGATATTACCTCCCATCTTCACCGCTAGAGGCGCTGCTTGCGAGCGAAAGAGCAAATTTGCAACTCAAATTTGCAAAAATTTCGAAGAATATTCGGGATAGAGACCTGAAATATTCAATATAAGTTATTCCAGATTCTATATACATACTGCTAAAATATCAGTCATATTAGTTACGTATTTTACGTATATTACGTAAAAGCATTCCATTCACAAAAGCAAACGATGACAGAATTGATGACTCTGATACTTGCATATTTTAATAATAATAATATAAATGAGTTTTAAAAATTGTAAAAAAAAAAAATGCCTCGGCCGGGCGTCGAACTCAGGCCGCCCGCGTAGCAGGAGAGCATTCTACCACTGAACTACCGACGCTTATAAAAAAAAATGGCCATATTTGGGTATTTATTCCATTCACAAAAGCAAACGGTGACAGAATTGTTGATTGATTGTTGATGACTCTGATACTTGTATATTCTCATATGAAAATGTTTTATATGGATTTTACCATTTCGGCATTATTTTAACTTTTAAGAAGGTTTTCAGGGTGGTCGGGAAAGGACAAATTCTCAAATTTCCTCTTTCAAATTTCTATACATAATTTTAAATATGCTCTCTCTCTTTCAAACCACATAGAAATATTAAATTTTAAACACTCGCTAAATTCAATTGACCATTCAAGTGTACAAATTTTGACTACTATTTGATCGGGGTATCCAGGAATGAACGAATGTCGATATGGCTTTTTAAATATTATTTAGAATATTTGCCTGTTTAACAAACAGTTCTATAACGACAGCCAGTTTCAAGCCTTATACGCGAGTACGCGATAGATTAAAATTTTATTGGCATATTATTCATTTTTTTAAATTTTAAATTAATCAGTTCTCAAGATATTCTTTTTTCACTCTCTTTCTTCAAAATCAAGGCGACATAAACGTCCATTTAATCGCCCTCATGCTCATCACTCATCAGTTGCCTGCCTGCAAGGTCTTGGATCCACCTCTGCCTAACAACTTTCCATATGTAAATAAATAGTCAGGACATGGTAACTTGTCGGCTGTGCTCGGTGTAGAACCTGTAAACTGAGGCGAAATCAATAAAACATATATTTTTGTAGATACATAAACATTAGGGCATATACAAATATTGAATTAGGAAAATTCTTTATATTTTTAAAAATGAAAAAATATCAGAAAGGAAGCTTAAAGGAAGTATTTTAACTAGGAGCTAGGAGTGAAGAATTTCACGTTCCATCTAGATGCGGTAGGGTAAAACGCCTGCGTAACGATCACCTTGCAGGCGGCCTGGAATTGAATAGATTTAAATTATTCTCCAGAAAACAACCAGAATAATAAAGGAATCTTCTAAATCAAGTAGTGTTACCCTAATATAAATAATTATCATACATTTTTCAAAGATCTATAAAAGATGCTAATGTTAATATATCGTTTCAAAGAACATCAAATTACTATCGTAAGAAAATATAAAACAAAGTTGTTAGTAGCTCGTAAAATAATATTCTTTCATATGAAAACTATGACCGCTAAAACTGGTTGTCCTCAATTAATTTGTATTATTTTTTTTTGCCGCTCAGCCTTAAACGCTCTAACCCCTATAAAAAAAACTTCTTAAAGAAATCCTAGATAATAAAAATATAACTATTATGTCAAAATGGTTTGACTCTTTTTGACTCATAACTATTACTATTATTTTCGACCTCTGCCGAGCTTTTTACATAGTATATAGACAATCCAATATTGATGACCTTGGTAAGGTCAACTGCCCTGAAAAGATAATCCAGCTAATTACTATTTATTTGACAAAGATCAAAACTTTTAAAAAGTTCTAGATGCACTTTTTCTTTCTTTTTTTTTTTTTGTTCCACGGAGCCACTAAAGGATTAGCTTTTAACACTTTCCATTCCAATCGAATTGCTAGAAAGCGCTATCTCTTCTGAAACATACATTGTCAAATTAATTTGCTTTTGAAGAAGACATTCTCTCGTTGTTCAAATACCACGTCAACTTCTTAATGCTTAAATAAATAAATTCCTCGACAAATTCGCCCAATGGTGCAACAGGTATAGATTGACAGTAAATTTGCAGATAATATAAGCACGCTTAATAAACAGAAATACAATTAAGTGCCCCAGAAACTATAATATTTACTTTCTTGACCAGATGATCAACATTAACAATGCAACTCCGCCTTTGCCCGACCCAAGCCCAGATGATAAAGGAGTAGAGGGAGCAGTAACAATCTCGCTATAAAAGCCTGGGCTAAGCTGATAGTACCCTGCAAGGGCTCCTAATCCAAGGATACAGGATGAGCAGCGTTTGTACTCCATGTTAGGAGCGGCTACACATAGCGTCTGTTCCTCATGGGCCATTCCTTTTGGAGCTAAGTCGTCCTGCCACTGAGAAGTGCTCCCAGTCTTAATGTCAAAGGAAGACACATTCTACTTTACCCAGTCATGATGGTTGTTAAGAAAGAAAAACACAAAAATAAATCAAATTCTAGGCATTACCTTTGATTAAAAGAGGAAATTCATCAAGTATAACGACAATTTCCTTTAAAAATATCAACAGATCCTTTCAAGGTTCATTACGATCATGGAAGTGCAATTTGAATCATCCTTCAAATCTGGAAACAGAGTCTACCCAATTACGGCTCTCCCATCGCTATTGTAAGGCTTTGATGTTTAAGGAAAACGTCTTCGAAACAAATGGAGCTTGGAGATTCATTAGTCACAAATACATTTTTGTGAAAGAAATTATTACAAGTGGTCGATGCACATTTACTTTACCATTTATTTCTTTAGTAGGCTGTACACTCTCAATATATCCATAAAGATTCACTTCGGTTATTTGAAAGCCTTTAACATTAACTATTTGTAAAAATATAATGCCCGAGGCCATACTATGTTCCTTCCCACCACATAGATTTTGTAAAATGGATAAACCCCTCCTTAATGTATTATAAGTTAACCAAGGGGCTAAAATCCTAGAGGGAAGTTGGGGAAAGATGGATGGACTCCGGGTGCAGGGGATGATCCACGCGTGAAAGGACAGGCGCCAAAAAACTGTATTCCTGACAGTCTGGTCACATCTGCGAGAGGAAACACGAGGGAGTTGCCGCCGAGCATGTGACCGTGTGGATTAACACGGAATACGGTGCCAAGAAGGACTAAGAGGATCCTTCTTGTAGCGGACAATGAAGGCAAGTCCATCTACTGTACATAATTATTAATTTCTCTCAGGACCCTTGTGTTAAATTGATTCGAACTAAGCTGTATCCACAATGAATCCTAATTGTTTTCCTAGAAACTTTGTTCATAAACATCGACGGCTGAGAGGTGTCGTAACAGTATATTAAATATCACAGAATGTCACCACACTGAGCACACAACAAGAGCTGTAATTGTATTGGGACCTTAAACTCCACGATAAATCCTCACCCTTTGAGCAGAATTCTTGGCCATTCTTTATATAACAAAATCCATTAAAATATTATAATATTCTAGCGTAGTAATAGATGAATGAACAGATAAATAATTATATAAAATTTTATATATTTATTACATCAGCACGATTAGGTGACTACAATTAAACTAAGCTCATTATTTTCAGCTAGAGAATACTTAATAAACAAAGCGCTATGTGACATGATGATTTTATAAATAAAAAATTCATATTCTGTTGTGTATTTTGTGTGATTTAATAATTAAGTACATAAAAAATAAGTTATAAAATTATTTCCTCGCCACAATATGAAAAATTTCCAAATTGTCTCTGACTTCTAAGCGGTTCTTACTTACCACATTCTGTTCTTGGTCCATAAGAAGGCATCTCGTTGCAGACATCATCTGTAAGCTACATCTTACACCCAATGTATAACTCTGCTGGGACAACGACTACAGCGGTATGGTAGGAAACAAGATAACAGATCAATCAGGCAATTCGTATACGAATCTTGTGTCACTATTGATGTTTTATACTTTCGAATATAATAATTCATTTCATACAGAGTAATATACGCTGTTTTTCAATTTCTATAAACTTTGATTTTTTCTTTGGATCTTTTTTAAGCTCAATGTATAGTTAATTAGTCTCCATTATATAATAGAATCACATTTTATATTTCACATAACCAGCTTAGTGCTTGAGTATATTCTACTGGTATTTAGTGAAAGCAAACCACATGTCCTCACTCTTCTATTGAACACCCACCTTGTGAAACAACAATAACTGATGGATTATTTGATGATAATATAATTATCAAAATTCGAAACTATTTTAAAGGCGTAAGATTCTTTTTGATATTAAACAATTTATACTGCCTTTACTGCAATGGAAAAAGTTTACTCAATTGCAGTAAGGGCAGTAGAAATTGTTTAATATCAAAAATAATCTTGGGCCTTTAAAATAGTTTCGAATTTTGATAACAGATGGCGCGCTAGTGCATCATACTATAATTATGTTTATACCATTTAGTTAGCCAATTCTTCCCTTTATAAATTCCTCTTAGTCTTTCACACGTGATTAAATACAAATATTTTAACATAAAGATATAGGAATACACTGAATACAGATTTATTGTTTATGTGGATAGGGTGTAATTTAGAGATAATTAATGGAAATAAAATTGATTTTATTCACGCTCCCGAGATGAATCATTAAAAAATTCATAGGGTCATGGAGAATGGGCAAGGGCGGGGCCAGGGAGATGAACATGAGGCGGGGCCATTGAGAAAATGTGTGGGTGGAAGGTGGGCTATGGAAATATTCATGTGATGGGGCCATAAGATGTTTTCAGCACATAGGGAATGTTAATATAGAAGAAATGGCGTAAAGATCAGCTGGAAGATGGCGACACATTGATTGCGCCAGTGCGAGATTGCGCAATATATAATTGACCATTGTCACAACGGGAGTCACACATCGTTAGGGGCATTAGAGCTCCAGGATTATGGAGCCCCAGGGTGCGGCACATCTTCATCGTCAGAGATAGATGAAGGGGACAGATTGCGCGTCATTTCACGAACGCCAGGGACAGAAGGCGAATCATATATTCAGCGCCGGGGACAGAAGGCGCGTCATTTCACGAACGCCAGGGACAGAAGGCGAATCATATATTCAGCGCCGGGGATAGAAGGCGCGTCATTTCACGAACGCCAGGGACAGAAGGCGAATCATATATTCAGCACCGGGGATAGAAGGCGCGTCATTTCACGAACGCCAGGGACAGAAGGTGAATAATATCATCAGCGCCGGGGATAGAAGGCGCGTCATTTCACGGATGCCAGGGACAGAAGGCGAATCATATATTCAGCGCCGGGGGTAGAAGGCGCGTCATTTCATGAACGCCAGGGA